CTATTTTACGTCAAGGAATTCTGACTTGAAATTTCCTTCAAGTAGCACATTGTCTATTGACAGTGCATATGAGAAAAGGTTATAATTTATTGCGAAGTAACCATATCACCGAGTCAACAAATTTTAAAAGGTTGCTCGATGAGAACCGAGTGCAAATTCATCTTCATAGTTGATTATCTGGTATGCGATAACGTTTGGATGAAGGTGATCTGGAAAAGAATTTTCTCGTAATTAGGAACAATTGTAGAGATTCTATCGACATAGTCGATGTGATACTCTTTCTCTTTTTCTCTGTAAGACGCAATGCATAATTTCGCTAATAATTCTTCGATTTTTTTATTTGATGTAGATACGATGTATGATGATAACTGTTGGATCAAGGTGATCTGGAAAAAGATTTTCTCGTGATCGTGCTCAAAAAAAAGCCACTGCATGGGACGAAAAAGAAAACGATGTGGAAAAAATTTTCTAAAGTACGATCCAGAAGTTCCAATCAATTTTTTTCAAAAGTTGAACTTTTATCAGAATCACTCATATGTAACCAGCCATTAGAAACAATAATGTGTGATGTATACTAGAAGAACATGTGATAAAACACCTTTAGTTGTGCAAATCTAAAGTGGGTTTGTCTATCCATTTGTTATCCTTCTCTATTTTCATAAGAAATATTTGGTTTCTTTCCTCTGTAGTTTTAGAAACGATTTTGTGTAAGTTTCTGCTATAACTTTTTATTATTTCTTGCCATGTAACATTCTGACTAAACAAACAAACTAATACTTCATTTAGTACTTTCGCTCTTGCAGTACCACTGTCCTCCAAATTTAGTGATTTTCTCATCCTTACTACATCATCCTGGTTTACGAAGGAAAAGGTCACTACTAATATGTAAATACTTCTCTATACACACTTGTATTTTGGTTAAAAGAATATATTATTTCTTGTCTATATGCACACAAGCAAAAAAATGTATACTGACAAAAACGGTTAGACGTGTTTAGTAGAAAATTTACAAAAAAATAATTTCTTTAATCACCGTCGCTAATTGAAGAAAAAAACACTGAAATATCTTCGTTTCATCACAGAACTGTATAACAGCACGAAAACTCAGATTGAACGAAAAAAATTCGTCAATCATATGTGAACAGAAAGAAAAAGGATTTCGAACCGAAAATTACACATTCTCCTCATTTGTCATTTGATATTTTTTTCGAATAGACTAATAAATATCTTGGATATGTTTGATACTCATTTGTTATTGAGTAAATTTGATCATGTTTATCCACTGATGGTACGATCATCACACTAGCCAGAAACATATAATGTTGACCCTCATCACACGAACGACGTGTACCATATAGATGACTTGTATATGCATCACTTGTAAAACAAACACCTTTACCCAGTTGTTTCTTGCCTGAAGATTTAAATTAATATACTTAATTATACCAAGGTTATCTGTAACATCTTTACTACTAAGAACGTATCACTATTGCAGTTTTTCTAACTTTAAACATCACTTAGAGAGAAAACAAGATACATACCATATTTTGTAATATAAAATGGATTAAATCCGTAATAAATTATAGTCTGTACCGATTCTAAATAACTACCATGAAATAGATAATGATCTATAGACAATTCGGGAGTCTGTTGATTATCAAAACAGTAATTAAAATATGAGATATAACATGGCCAATTTTGAATTAAATACACCTAGAAAACGCAGAACAACAAAAATTATACCGATGAGTGATCAATGAACAAGCATACTTTAGTCACAGTCCATAGAGATTTATCCATTGTTTTTTGAAAGTGTTGGATGCATTCTTTCGCATCATTTCTATCTAGTCCTAATAGAATTTTTCTTGTACAATAACGATTATTTTTGTCAATAATCCAAGTGCCTGGTGATGAAAATGATTGAGGAACTAAATGAATAAAAACAAAATCAATGACAGAGTACCTAGTAAGTCAAAAATTATAAAATTGACACGATTTACTCATTCTAAAGTTAATTTCGAGCATCGAATAAGCACCGAGCATCGCTCAATGTGTTCCGATCGTTAGTTCACCGAGTTGTTAAACTCGGTGTATGCAGACATATTCAGCTATACATTGAGCAATGCAGTTAGATAACTCGATATTTCATCTGCAATATCGAGATAAAGGAGTAAAAAATATCGATCAATACGCCAGCTAAAACATCTAGATATTTTGACTCGAGCCCTTTCACTTGAAATTATCAAACGTTGACAGTCTATAATAACATTCTTATTTTGTTAGACTTACTTGTTAATTGTGTATGAACAATCATTCCTAATTTTCCTCCATTTATTCGAACTTGTTTTTTAGTAAAATCAACATCGTATTGAGCATCATCATCTTCCAGTTGAACCTGCAATCAAAAGACACATCTCTTGTGGATACCAAATATAAACAGTAATTTATACAGCTTACAGTTTGTTCTCCACATAAAGCGAATTCTTCCATTTTTATACTAATAAATTGACTAAATTCATGATTATGTAATTTTTCTGTCAAATCTTTATCAATATAATGCCATTTGTTAGGGAGCTGTGTTTTCTGTTTGAGTAATATTAGATTTGATAAACATTGTAAACATGATTCAGAATCACCACGGATAATTAATTTTCTTGATGAATAATCCAAACGCGGTAACACGAAATAGTTCAAACAAAAATCAATTAATTGATTAGACTAGAAAAGTAATGAATAAACAAACATTTGATGTCATATTGAAGAGAATTTCGTACATCATCTGCATATTGTATTGAATCTATGTCGATTGATTTTTCAATAATTGCCCGTTTTAATTCGACTATCAATGATTGATGGCGTTTCTCGACCGACGTATTTGATAATGTAATAATACGTTTAGCTATATAAAATTTAAAAAAATAAATCATACGAAAGATTTACCGTCATTTTCCTACGTACATGTTATTTTACGACTAATTTTTTGAGATACCGAAGATATTGACGATTGATTTCGACTAGCGGGAATTATTCGATGTTTTTGTTCTCGTTCTATGTCCATTCGAATTTGCTCAATTAAACTATTCAAATAGGAACGAAATATCTTGAGGAAAAAAAAAGAAAAAAAAGAATAAAAGATACAAATTTATCGCTAATAACTATTAACTTACTTGATAACATGGATCATTTTCTGGATATTTATCTTGTGGCTTTGTATAAATGGCATATATCACATTCATTTCATATTTATGTAAACGTTCACTGGCTGCACCGATCATTGCTTCAGCAACTAAAAATGAATCACATCCAATAGAGCCAGTACCAATCTAAATAAATAGTCACAAAAAAAAATTTAAATATAAGAGAATAATTATACAACTTACGGGTGGAAATACAATTGATTTTATATCACGTTCTCGTGCTGTATCAAGACAAAATTGAACGACTGTTGCTAACGACTAAAATAAAAGAAATTTAATTCTAAGTACTGCTACAAACATGACATACCTCTTGTATTTCAGTGTCGGACATTTTCGATGTTGTTTTTTTCCAATCAATAAATATAATTTTTTGTGCTTTTGTTTTTCCCCCATTTAATATGAGTACTTGATCAGATTTATACGACTGATGATATTGGTCAGAGATATCTTTACCGGCTTGAGCTAACACAGACTTCAAAATATTTTCACTTGTTGTTATGCAAACAAGAGCATCAGCCTAGAAAATCAAAAATTCACATTGTAATCATAATGAGTAGGAAAAAGAAAAAAAGCTTACTGATACTTGACTAATATCATTAAGAATAACATCGATTGATGAATGAGTTTTTTGAATATGAAATTTACCATCATTAGGATACAGTAAACAGGTGGCTGATGCGGTGGATGATTGAGGATTCTAAACAAAATCGAAACGAAATTAGATTATCTTCAGCGACAAAAAAAACTGAGTAAGCGAGTTAGATTAGATGAAACATTCTTTTATTCTCAGTACAGAGCTTGACATAAAACTGAAGATAAAAGAAAGAAATCAAATAGATAGATCTCGAATTTTTTCTACAAAATAACCGACAAACCTTCACATTTGATTGTGTAACTTCAATTTGAACTAAAAATAAAGTTTAAACACTTGCGAGTTTCAATCAACACGTGACAAACTTACTCTCTACTTTGGAGAATGTTTCTGTTATAATTGCAAATTCTTTCTGATCTAAATAAAATATATGAACATCATGCTGATTCATTCTGTTTCTTGACTGAAAACCGAAAACATTGGAAAAAGTGGATACTGAGCTGCTTTTTTTTCTTCTTCTTCTTCGACTTAATCATATTAAACCGAAACTTTTTAAGCACATGTGTAACAAAAAAGATCTCAGTAATATTCTTCGACTACTATTCAACAGCGAAAAACAGTTTGACTATAAGTTTGTATCCAATTAGGATAGCTAATTTCCCGATTACGGTATTCTTAGTCTTTTCAGCTTCTAGAACTTCTTTAAAAATCTAAAGTATGTAATTCATACTTATTCAGCATAGCATACATTCTTCTGTTCTCTCTTACCATTCCATATTTATATATAGATAATATGAGATACTGATCCATAGAGACAACAAAATGAGACTATAAAAATCGCAGTTCTGCTTACGAGGGACCCCTCTTCCCGGTGTCCAATCGTTTTTTCCTCAAAATATACACGATGGTGAGTAATTTCTGATGTTGATGACGAATCTGATATCCGTTTCTGCTGCTAGGCCCTCCTGGAGTGGGTCTCTGGAATGTGTCAGGTGTCCGAAGACAGCTGAACATATTTTGCCACTGCCGGATTGTAGTGCACGTTGAGTTATCTATGTGGAAAAATTGCCAGAACCAACGAACAAGTTTTCGCAGAGACAGAAAAAGTTTAAGATTCAAAAATCGGAAATATTTTGGTTCCCTATTAGATTAGAAAGAAACATAGGTAATTCAACGTGCTCTACAATCTGGCAGTGGCAAAATATGTTCAGCTGGAAGTTCTTCGTGGGTCTTCGGACCCCCAGATTCCAGAGATCCATCCTAGGAGGGCCCAGCAGCAGAAACGGATATCAGATTTGTGATCAGCATCAAAGATCACCCACGATCGTATTTTTTTTGAAGAAAAAGTGGTTGGACACTTGGGGAGACCCTCGTTAGTGCTATTCACGTTTGGAAACCCAGGATCCCAACCAGTACACTATCTTTTTACCACTAGATACCAGAGCTCCCTACAGATTGATAAATTTTCCAAAAAGTCCAGTCTGTAGTCTCAAACTGTCGAACCATTTCAGACCGAGTTCATTCGAAAATAAATATTTAAAACTGATCTTAGTGATTGCTCGCGCTTTATTGTTTCACACTTAACGGCTTCATAAACAGAATATAGTTCACAGTTAAAGGTAAAGTTACGTAGACAACGGATCGAATTTTTTCAAAGACTGACTTACGTGCTTGAAGAATTTGCTCGGCGTGTGATGTTTGTAACAGTAAAAACAATTCATAGTCTTGATTTGGATTCATTTTTACAATTTCGATACTCAAGTATTCAGGTATAAGAGTTTTGATTTGTTGCGTTATTGTGGCATGTAAATGATCGGGTGCAAGAAAACAACCATTTGGCAAATGCGAATAGATTTCAACATTATTTCCATATTGCGATTCTATTTTTTTTAGAGATTCGCGACCAGGGCCCAACAGATAACAAAGCTAAATGCGAGAAAAAGAAAAAATTGATATAGTATAACAAATAAGTTCTTTAAAAAAACTGTAACTCTTTTAGATCTCAATTTTCCGTATACAGAAAAGTGATGTAATAATCAGTGTTTTACACCATTGCAGAACACCTTTTCTCTATACATGATGTTTATTTCCGCTTTCTTTATATTGACGAGAAAAAGCTATTGCCACTCATATTTTCATACGCAAAGAAAGAAACACACGTCTACTCATGGCGGAAAGACAAACCATAGAAAACAACAAAATATCACAATCAAACAGAAAGAGTTCAACAAAAAGAAAAAGATAAAAAACAACAAAAGGAAAAAGGTGCATCCATCATTGGTGTCTTTACTGTAGATAAAAAGAAGAATAAGACATAAAGAGAGCAAAAAAAAACGAGCAGCATTTATTCAAAAATGGTAAGAGTATCTTATCCTGTATTGTACCATCTAGCGCTCTGCTGACTTCTGTAATTAAATATGACTTACATTATCATCACTAATTGATTTCAATTGACATATTGTTGACCGTAAATTAGAAACAGGATTTGTGGTTAAACCTGTCGATTTGGAAGACACATACTGTTGTTCATCATCTTTAGCTATTGTTGGAGTTGTAGTCCGACCAACTGTTGATAATCCGGTGCCTCCAGCACGACTGCGATTCATACGTAATACGGGTTGATTGCGTCGAGAAAGTCCGCTATTACCATCTACAACAGTTGATATTATCGAAAGTGAGTCTAAAATTAAAAGCGGAAAGCAAATATATACTGTTTAAGGTCAGGAACACTAGTAAAGACTCCGAAAGTCTTTTGGGTTGTTTGCTGTTAATTTTGACGATATCGGAACTCTTAGTACGTAGTTCAAGGAAAAGATGTCGTGAAAAGATTGAAAATGTCTCAAAAAAATGTTTGCTCTAGTTCAGAAAGTTTTCAATCTATGCGACATGATTTTCTAGAGTTCAAGTTTCCCAGGGGATCTATGTTCAGTAATTTTGATGGAATTTCCATACATATCCTTTCGTGATGGAACCGCTTTCAGCTGCTGAATTCACTTTTCAGACTTCTTTTAGTTATCACGATCGAGAAAAACATCAGAAGTTTCCTGTATGCATTCTCATACAAAAGTATACATAGCTTTTATACTAATTGTTCTACTTTTTTTTATATCATTATTCTTACTATTATTGACTATTGGAGACGTTACTGATATCGGTGACAGGCCATGTTGCAAAGATTCTTCTTGTGTAGCTGTTGTAACCGGGGGCGGTGTATGTACGTCCGGCGATGGAGATGAAGCTAAATAAAATCCATAATAAACACACGTTTACATTTTATTGTAATTTTTTAACCATTGTTCGTAGGTTTTGTTTCTGATTGAAATGATGGTGTTATAGTTGACGACGACGATTGGATATGTTCTTGGATATTTGTTGTCGAGACCGATTGTGATGAAAAGCTCTGATCTGAATAAATGTCTATTGCCGGTTGAGACTGAACTGGTGGTGAATGATCTAAAAATGAAACTCATGATACTTTTAAAAGCATAGATAGTCGTCGGTTTTTATTCTGTATCATCTTACCATTTCTTGCTGTATTTTCAACTACATCGGAGATTGGTAATTCATTATTTAATATATCTTTCGGCGATGATCGATGAACGTGATTGTCGGATTGAACATATTGTTGAAAAGATCTTCCGCGGCCAAGGCCAGATACGGGTGTGGATCGCAATGAATCTAAACAAAAAAAAATTTTAACAGTGTCACCTGCAGAATCGATGATATTTACAATTTTTTAAAGTTGTTGATGATCCATCGTCAACATCACAATGTGGGATTTGTGGAGAAAATGACTGGTTTGTTAATTCTTGTTGATCGGTATGCTTTTGTGAAGAAACAGTTCGCTGTGAAAATGTTACTGATGATGAAGAGTCTAAATAACCAAAATGGAAAGGTTACAGTATTTAAACTAGAAAAAAAGTGTGCTTTTTTTTCAACATAGATATATCGCTATGCGCTGCTTTTCTCTTCTTATTCATTGAAGAAGACGACACTTTAAGAAACTATACATATCAAGACAATGACTTATATCAGATAAAATTTTATCTCTTCAACATATATACGAAAATATGTCTTTATGTTTACCGGTCTTTGATGTTTTTGATTCATTTACACTTAAACGTCTTGAATGTGGAGTTAGAGAAGATTTTATATCATTCATTGGTACAAGTACCGGTTGACTGTTATTGATTACTGGGATATATCGTTGCGAAAAACCTCCGGACACTGGTGATACTTTATTTTGTAAACATTCAGCAGTCGATTTATTCTCTGTCTGCTGTTGTGGTTTACCAAAGCAATTTGGAAATTGTTCTTGCTGTTGATCTAAAAGAGTAAACAAGACAAGAGGATGTATATACTACTGTTTCCACTATTTTTATGATGCATTAGTGTCACGCCCACACAAAAGTGTCGATAGAAAAGATCACATAAGTCTTTACCATTCATGTCTGTGGACTCTTCTTTTGATCTTGAAAATTCTGATGTAGTGCTTGCCGTATTTTCATCATTACTTGTTGTTGAAATGGAAGCTGATTGTTGAAGGGGTTGTTGAGAAGATAATGAGTGTATAACCGGTGGAGATAGTTTACTTTCAGACTCCAAGTCTTGTTGTTCTACAGAAGAAATTTGTGTCTGCAGAGCGACGGGTGTAAGTAAAGTTTTATTTTGCAGCGAGGAAGCTGTCGATGGTTGTTGTTGTTTTGGAATTGCTGTCGATGGCTTTAATCTCGATGAAAAGCTTTCAGGTTGAAATGTGCTTGTGACTAATATCTAAGAGACAGAAAGAGTAATAAGATATCAGATAATAATTGAACATAGTTTAAAAGAAGACGTGTTTAATGATAAATGAATTTGGTATTTTTTAATTTGGAACGACTGAAGGAAGAAAAAGTTAGCTTGATGCAACTTACTTGTTCCTTAGTTGTTGGTGGTGATTCTTTATGCATTTGAGTAACAGATGGTGATGGAGGACATCCTACTGTTCTCCCACGACCTCGGCCACTGTAAGATCGTTGAGTTGACATGGAAGCAAAACGTTGTGAAAATACATTTACTGTAGTGGGTGATTCTTGATGAGATGACAATGGTTCATTAACCACAGTAGATTGAAGTTCTGGTTGCATGGACGATGGTAACGATCCGTCAAATGAATTTTTTAATGGAGAAAACGCTGAATTGAACAGTTGTAAAGTTGATTGAACTAAAACAAACAAATAATAATTAGTACTATTACACAATTTGTATTTTTTAAATACAGATTATCAAAACATGGAAATGTTTAATTTAACAAGAATAATTAGAGCACCTACAGTGCAGAATTTTATGATCATTCTTTAATTACCTTCATTTTGGTTAGAATCTCGTATATTATTCTGCTCTGTTTGCTCTTGATCTTTTTTTGTATCCATATCTGTATAATCTGATGACGTTCTTTTCCTACTACAATGTTCTTGTTGATCTGATAATGGCAAGGTATTTTGTTGTGGCTCATTTTGAGGTAGAGATGTGACTGGTTTTTCCTCGACATCAATTATCTGACCGTGACGATCTTGAATGTATTGTTTTATTAGATCACACACTAAAATGAATGGAAAAAGGTTGAAAAAACAATCGACTCATATAGTACTAAACGATAACCGTGACTTTTGGAAAACTCCTCCTAAGATTGCGAAGCAGAGGAGCTGAAATAATATACTCACAACCTTAGCGATTTTGCTGATTTTTTTTACCCTTGCTCCCCTACCTCAACCGCTCTAGTAACGATCTTACGGAACTACGATAGTGATCTTGTGAATTATCAGTAATCTTAACGAACTATAGTATCGATCTTAATGATGTACAGTGATGATCATTTGTGACTGGAAGACTGACCTTACGGTACCATAGCAATGATCTTAAGGGCTCTCAGTGTAATGCTCTTGCAGAGCTATCGTAATTAACAGATTTTCTGGATTTTTATAATGGTTTCGTATATTTAGTTTTCGTGTTCGAATTACTATTACGATGTTTTTGATCTTAGCGCGTGTCCGATAATAAAGTGCACTAAATAGTAATGCATTTTTCTATCATTTGATACTTATAAAAGAAGTTTTCTTTATATACCAAACGATAGACAATTTAATTCTCTATAAGATTGTACATTTATTTTTAAGCTTCATCTTTGATATTTGGCGCAGTAACAATTTCGCGCTCTATTAGACTGTGTAACTTACAAATAAACCTGCTACTTTTTTTACCTGAAAAACTAGGAAATAGTGGATGCCGCTAATATGGCCGAAAGATAGGAGAAAATGGCCGTTTTCAAAGACTCGTTTTTGCTTCGATTTCATCTAGAACAAATCATTATTTCTCACTACACAAACCCATTATATTGTAGAAAATGTTTTGCTGAATTTTTCGATGTATCTCGTTTTGTTGAATAAGTGATTTTTGGTCATTTATTAAAAAATCGACTTTTTGAAGGTGTACTTAAAAAATTTGAAGCTTTTTAGAGTTACTGTGCCAAACATCAAAGATGAGTCTTAAAAATAAATATACAATCTTATAGAGAATTAATTTGTCTATCATTTGGTATATAAAGAATTATTTTTTATAAATGGCAAGTGATAGAAAACTGCATTAATATTTACGTACCTACTCGGGACTCGTGTTTGAAAATTAATCAGATAGAACGAAAACAATGTTAGGCCGTTTTTTTTAAGTATCATCTTAACATAAAATAGGAGGCGTTTCACATTTTAGCTCGTTAGGACTGCTCTGACATTTTTAAACGTATCATTGGAGTCATATTTAGGCATGCACCAAACCGATAGTTTGGTGACCGAACGGTTCGTTACTGAGCATGCTCGCTGCCGATCAGCGAGCCGTAGCTTGGGATGGTTGCATGTCTGATCTGGACTAAAGACAAATTGAATGAAATTGAATCTTTTGAAGAAACTAACCAGTGAGAAAATAGATTAACTAAAGCACAATGTGAGCGAATGTGTCGTCTACCGGACCGCTACCGAACGTGTTCGGACTAGGGCTGTGACAGTTACCATTATCGTTACAGTAACTGTAATTGCTGGTCGGTTACCGTTCTTTGTAACGGTAACGTGCAAGCAGTTACCGTACAAGTAATGGTAACTGTTCAGTATATCTTTCAAGAGTCAAATCTCTAAATATATAGGTATCCAGGGTGAGGATGAGGCTACGAACTTCCACCCTCACCCTGGATACCTAGATATTTAGAGATTTGACTCTTGAAAGATATACTGAACATTACCATTACTTGTAACTGGTCGTTAGCGTTACTTGTACGGTAACTGCTCATCCTTTACCGTTACCAGGAACGGGAACTGTTCAGCAGTTACCGTTACCGGGTAACGGTAACTGGTAACTGTCACAGCCCTAGTTCGCACGAAGATTGCAAATACGATAGTTTATATTTTTCTCATCAGAGACATCGACCAGCGCTCTGCTGACAAACTATTAGGACAAAGTACCATAAATCTTATAAAGATACATTCAAATTAGAGCTGCAACTGTCTGTCTACTGTTTTTTGCACAGTGAGGAAAACCATTTTTTGCATGAAAACAAAGTAAATCAATCTGCTATACAGAGGCCACGTTAGTAAATAATTAGAGAGCAAATCAGATATAATGGAAACTAAAAGTACTTTCAACTTCCTGGGATTTGATTCAAACTTTTCTTTACATGACTACCTACGGCTACGGCGTAATCAAGGCTGCTCCTCCGTTTGGTGTAATCTTCACCATTTTTTCTGTTTTTTACAAAGATTTCTTTCATGTGTTTCTTCGTTCTCAAGTTCTTAGCTTTGACAAACTATTCTTTTTAAACCTTGGTAGCGATCCGGTAGAAGACACATTCGCTTACACGGTGCGTTACTTATTCTATTTTCTCACTGGTTAGTTTCTTCAAAAGATTCAATTTCATTCGATTTGTCTTTAGTCCAGATCAGGCATGCAACCATCCCAAGCTAGAGCTCGCTGATCGGCAGCGAACTATTCGGTAACAAACCGTTTGGTGACTGAACGTGTTCGGTTGCGAACAGTTTGGTGACTGAACTTGTTCGATAACAAACCGTTCGGTGCCGATTAACGAGTCCTAGTTTGAGATTGTTGCATTTGATGGAGATTATTACTGATAGCTCGCAAGATCCTTGAAAGAGTGTAAGATCTTTTTTTTTGAGTTTTTGTCATCATGACAAATTTACCGGTTAATAGTAAGTGTCTCTGTGTAATCTTTATCTTTATCTTTGTGTAGTGTACATATATTTATCGTAATCTTTTAGACCTTGAAAAGTAAATTGGAAACCGGAAGCTCTAACTTCCGCGTCTCCGAAGGCTCGAGTAATTTTTTTAGAATCCAAATTTTTATTTTCTTATTCATTTGTAAACCCTTTAATTGCAAGGATTTGAGAACAAAGAGGAGAATACATCACAAGAGATAAATCATCCTAGTCAGTATGAAGATAGGCCATTATGAAAAACGAAAGTCTATTTTATCTGTTGAATTGTGCTTCGTTCTGAACAATATATAAAATTTCACTTTTGTAACAGGTGTCCCAGAATAAACGGCGATGGCAGTATTTTTCGTTTATCTCTTTCAATTTTTATGTCGAGACTTGCGCCTCTTTTTACAAGGTTCGTTGTTTCATTCCCTACAAAGAACATATTGATATACTGTATAAATAAAAGAATGTAGGTGAAATACTGCGATGCTTCAATTTCCATGACTATCAAACTCAAAAAAGTTTTTTAATTCTAGGTCTTTGTACTTTATCAAAAGTCGTAGTTTTGGTGACATTTGAGAAAATTTTTATAAATCGGCCAAAATCAAATATTTCGAGGTCTGGTTTGTCTCATCTGAAAGCAAAATAATTCTTCTCTTACATCCGAACAGAGGAAGTTCGATACCTCCATTTTTTTTGCAGTAAAAAAGCGAAAAGGTGGAAATTTTAGTAGTAAACCTGCCTTTTGTATCAGAAAAACACGTTCAAAGCCAACCTCTGATACATGAAAAGAAAGACGACACTTCGAAGTACTAGAACATCCATTTTGATTCTACTTTGATGCATAGCATCATTTTCGAAATAAATATCTTTTTGTTGTGTTTTGGATTTGGAAGTAATGGAAGCTTTGTAGTATTTCACCTACATTCTTTTATTTATACGTATATAAAAAAATGTTCAGTATTCAATATGTTCTTTGTAGAGAATGAAACGAGGAATCTTTTAAAAAGAAGCGCAAGTCTTGACAACAAAAAATTGAAAGAGATAAACGAAATATACTGAGATCGCCATTTACTCTGGAACATCCGTTACATGTAGAATCAACCGTCGTCCATGACAAACGTCTGGTGACGAATAGCCTATTTTAGCTCTAATACAAACACAGTAAAACGAACTGAGAAAAAAAATTCCTTTCTCACTTCGTATCACATCACATTTAAATATTTTTTATTAATCAACACGATTCTTCGAAATCGTACATCAGCTCCTATAGAAATTTTTTTTCATCTAGTGGTTTTTTAATGCGATCACACCCTTCATCATTAACATAAAAAAGTTTATGTATTTTGACGTATCTAAAATATAGTAAATATTTGTTGTAATCTGTTTAGAGGCTAACAGTTTTTTGAATGAACGTTTAAGATGAAAACTCTTCACTATTCGTTTGATTGAACGAAAAAAAGAAAATAATTGATAAAGAATAGAATAACACTGATAACTGAAGAGGCAGAAAGAAAGATCTGAGGAAAAATAGCGATTATTTGTTTTTAGATGATGTCTTTTTACGACTATCTTTCTAGAAAAAAAGTAGTCTAACCTTTAGTTAAAAAATATAACTAGAGTTCAAGTGTCGTGTACTGGACTCGACTTAGATAGAAAAAAGAAAAGATTCGTCCACCTCTGCCTCTGAACAGGTAAATTGATCATGAAAATAATATACGTAATCGAAAATGGGTTCGCCGCCAATAGATTGTAAATGGATTAAGGATGTCTAACTAATGTGTACAATAAGAGAGAAGAAATATCGTAGTTCGTGGTCATGCTTTTCAGACATTTCTTTCTACACAAAAAAGATTGATGAGATATTATGAGACGCATGCTATCTCTCATCGATAACTGAATTTCGTTAAAATATTCTGTATTTTCTTTTATATAAATTCATCGCTTTGCTGAGAGAAATTATTATTAATCTTTGCTGATATTTTTACTTTTTATGTGCATAATAATTTGCTTCATTTTCGCCTTACCTTCAGCATCTTCCCATTCTATTTCCACTGTTGTTTTATCTTTGACAATTTTTTGTACAATATACTTTTTATAATTTGTGAATACCTGATCAAGTAGTTGATCTGTTAATTCTGTTTGATTATCTTTTGATTTTAATATCAATACTGTAGTTTTTTCTTTCTCTTCTTCTTTTTCTTGATTATTTTGTGATGACAGATCATCCACCAGTATTTGATTTTTATCGTAGACTTTATTTTCTTTAAAACTGAGTAACGATGAAACGAAATCAAAATCGGGTTTTAATTTAAAATGTTCTAAAACTGATTGATTATGTGTGTTATCCAACGAGTGACAGTATGTACAGTGACCATTTCGGCGAAATTCGTCACATTCATTATACAATAAATAGTTTTTGCAGATGTGTAATGCAAGGCATTCTTGGTTTCTACAACGTCCAGTTCGTTGATAATTATCACATAACGATAGCTAAAACGACAGGATAAACAATAATTTTGTGTCAAAAGCATCCTTTAACCAGATTAAGCTTTTACAGTGCTGGCAAAAATTATAGACCCGGGACGATGGTTATATTAAACACGATCGTAAAACATCGACCTGGTTTACGGTAAAATACGGTACGTAAACGACGCGTATATGACCATTTACGATCGTATACGTACCGTATTGTTCGACCAGGAGAGCCGTTATATTTTTGAAGGTTTTCAATGAAGCCCAGAAACAAGGACAAATTCGAATGATGATTTTGTTAGCCCTTGACGTTCTCTATCAAAAACATATGAAAATATTTGAATAAAATCCCCTAGGACTTAGAGCTCCGCTGGAGCGGTTTTCTAGGAAACTTTCTTCGAAACCTTTTTTCTGAAATTTTGACACATACTGCATTTGATAGAGAACTTCAAGGGCTATTAAAATCACTGTTCAGATTTGACCTAGTTGCTCGGCTTCATCAAAAAATTTCAAAAATACAGTGGCTCTATAATTTTTTGCCAGCATTGTATTTTACTATACTGTGCTGTAGTAAAACCATTTAAAAGAAAAAAAAATAATTCACTAAAAGTTGTATGATCTTGTGAGTAAAAAATGGTTGTGTTAGCATGTTAGGATTTAATGTGGCTTTTGAAGAACTAAAGTTATTAAAACAAGAAGAGATTTTTTTTCTTTTTTGTCACCAAATTTAGATTACAGTTTTGCCTACATAGTACCTTTCTTATAGCCAACTGAGAGATAAGAGCTGTATATTCAAATCTTACTTGTGGATTAAATTTAACTTGATCACCCCTCGGTGTGAGCTCGTATAATGAAGCCATTTCGTGAAGACAATTTTTGACCAGTATTGGTGGTAAAGCTAATTCTTTGATAATTTTATTAATATCAATCAGATATTCGTGTTCATTACGGAATAATGATAATATTTTTTTAGCACAAAAAATGTCCATTAGATGGTAAAATATTAATCAATAGAAGAATAAATATGATATAACTACGCATCATGATCATATCGAAAGCAGAAGAAAGAAAGAAGAAACAAATGTAATATGCAGACAAAACCGTCGCAAGCTTGTTCTCTTCTATAAACAGTAGTTATTGCTTCAACGTTTGAACACAAAAACAAAAACTTTTCTCTCATTCATGATATACCTGGTTAGACCCTCAAAAAGACAAAGAAAGGCAAGAAGAAAGAAGCCTTCTGTCACTTATTATTTTTCTTATTTTATTTTATATCCCTTTCTTCTGCTTAAGATCCCTCAGAAATCGTTGACTTTTTTTAAAAAATCAAAATTGTTTATTGCTTAGCTGGATATGCCGAAGTCTCCTCTTTCAGAATATGCGTCGCATTCAATAAAAAAAATAGCTTTTTATGATTTTTTGAGAGATTTTAGATTCAACCGTACATTACGTCGGTGATCTTCAAACTTGTTAGCTTTTTTCTCAGAATATGGTTTGGGCACAGCAAAAATGCTACGATTCATCGTGGAACCTTCATTTTTTTTATTCTGAAGCTGAGGCATAAGTCTAAAAATATGGACCATATTTTTAAATTTCACTTTCTGTTTCGAGAAAACTGAAAAATACTGTCTCGGATTTTAGGATTTATTTTTAGTTTTGACTTGAAATTTGTGCAGAAAATGAACGAAAGCGAAATTCAAAAATCTATTCCATAGATTTTTGGATCTAATTGTCTACTTTCATTTGAAATCATCCGCACCTATGTACTCTTTCTAAATCCTAGCATTTTTGCGAGAGTCCCATTTTGCCTCTTGTGACAATGATAATTCGATAACTCTTTTACCTTTTGAACTCAAATTTTTAGCATAGCATACTTAGATAGTAAGCATTAACATGCGTAAGTTTCATTGAGATCGATTGTAGAATAAACAAATTTTTTCCTGAAGGTATCCTTAAGATAAACTCATCTACCACAGGGGATCGTATCACGAAAAAGCTTAAGTCTAAGTTTAAGATCGACTTAAGTATGGAGACTTTAACTGTATCATGAAAAGACTTAAGTTGGCGATTTGTTTAATTTTTAAAAATCATTGACAACAGTGAACAAAAACCCGCAAAATAACGAAATATTTATTCTCTCTAATCCTTAGAATGTCGTTTTCGTCGAATCGTATCCTTAAATGCCTGAGCAATTCCAAAAATACGTCAATGACTTAACATAAGTTTTCAGTCTTAACTTTAAGACTACACTTTCTATGACTTAAGTTTTTTTGTAATACGGTAAAACTTAGTCCAAATTTTGACTTAAGTCAGACTTAAGTTTTTTTGTGATACGACCCCCAGGGATTTAACGATACGATTCGACGAAACGGACATTCTAAGGATTAGAGAATAAATATTTCGCTATTTTGCGGCTTTTTGTCTCAAGTTTGTTACTGTTGTCAACAACTTTTAAAAAGTAAACAAATCGCCAACTTAAGTCTTTTCGTAATACGGTTTAAGTCCCCAGACTTAAGTCGGTCTTAAACTAAGACTTAAGTTTTTTCGTGATACGATCCCCTACTCGCGTACTCTAGAATGTTTCAACAGAGAGTAGATGGGTGATTTCTGTAGAGAAAGTTCGGTAAAAATCTTTTAATGGTAGATATAGACCTTTGACTATCTCCCTTCATTGATCTAGCACTATCATTACTAGAAAAAGCTTTTGTACTACTTCAATGCCCATATAGATTCCATAAAAGTTGCTCCTCCGGCATTTCATTTGGTACATAAGTTTTGAAAATTTTAAACCTTTAATCTTAGTTATACACTTTATTTTCTTCAAAATGAGATGTTATATTACATCTATGAAGCTGGAAAACGGTGGGCTTCAAATTTCCTTTCAAAATAGAATGGCTTATCAAAAATCCAATTACTCTAGAACAACACTAGCGTATGGTATAATATGGACGAAGAAAAAAGATGATAAGTAAATGAATAACGAATGAACAACTGAATAGGAGAATTGAAAAGAGCTGCTTGAGTTGGCATATATACAGATTGTCCTAGTTGTTTTCCACTTCAAGTCGTTTGGTTTCTTCGTATCATACGTACATTTCCAGTATATCAAATTGAAACTCTTGTCTATCTTGTCATTTGTTTACTTTGGCTATTCTCTTTTTTAAACTGTTTCTGAACAAATTATATACCAGTTTACTCGTCAGAGTGCGTAGCGCCGAACCATATTAAAATTGTTGGGGTTTTGGATTACTAAAGCGGAAAAATCTGGCCTGTCTAGTTGGCAAAATATTTTTTGGGACTACTTTGTTCCTAATCGTCGTGTATCCACCAACCGAAAGAGGATAACTGACATTTATATATCAAATGGCAAGAACTGAAAATGGGTTAAAATTTGATACATAATATGACTCGAAACGTACTTAGGATACGAAGAAACCAAACGGCTTAAAGCAATAGGACAACCCTAAAAGAAATAGGGACAACCCTACAAAAAAATATTTTATCGGCACTTGTTGTGCACGGGTGCGCACCGGTGCCGAATAATTTTTTTTCTGGGCATCGGTGCCGAATAATTATTTTTTCTGTGCACCGATGCGCATCGGTGCCGAAGTTTTGTTTTCAATCACCATTTTGTTTTGTCAATTTCTATCTATATTAACGCTATGGTCTACTTCTAATATTTCGAATGGCTTACTTCATTTTTTCCTTCTCATAAGAGAAGTGCCGAGGCACTGCCGCGTGGTTTTGGTATGTCGATGTGGTACTGATCAGTGCCGCACTCTAACACAAAATTCAGCATAAACAACCATAATAAAGAACTAATTAAATTGATTAAATAAATTATCAGTGCGGCACCGATGTTTGCTAGTGCAGCATCCATGCGGCACTCTTTCAGCAGAAATATATCGGCACCGGTGCGCACGGGTGCCAATCGGCACTGGTTCGGCACTTGCTGGGCACGGGTGCACACCAGTGCCAGTGACCGATGGCATGCCATGCGCACCGGTGTGCACTGGCAGTGCCGCACTGGAATTTTTTTTATAGGGAACCTGTACAACACTATTTGAGCTCTTGGGGAGTTGTCATCTTTGACTTTTCTAAAATTGTATATCGTTCATCAATATTCTTAAATAGCTTTTAAATTTAAGTGGATACTGAAAGTTTCGACTTAATGTTAAGGGTTAAACGACACATGACAGTTACAGTGGATAAGTCGTTTTCTTTTGTTCTCTCTTATATATAGAAAATACCTAACATCGAATTTATCTTTCTTAATCGCTGTCGTTTATTTTGTAGATTAATCGTAGTTTAAATCTCTTATGGTTCCTCAAGTGTGGTTGTGATCCCTGTTGTTACCATGTAAGTGTTATAATATCATAATGTCTACTTCCATCTCTATTTTTGTTCTACTTACAGTGATTCCTCATGTCCATATCATCTTATGGCACTGATCCAACTGAGACAGCCGAAATATTAATAGCAGAAAATTCTTTGATCGATAATAAAATTGTACGCCATCGTCAAACAAAAACATGTACAATAAGTGAAGATTCATCAGATACTGATCAAGAGCGAGAGCAATCTTCACTATTAAAATTTCTAATGATTCCTACTTATTTTCGTTATTTGAAAAGAAATTATTTTTCTTCATACAATCAGAATACAGTTTATTCATTATTTCATTTACCAATTGGTGATTCGAAATATCGTTACTCGACACGTTTTATAATGAAACGAGTTTGTCCGCAAACTCCACTACAAACAATACTCTGTCTACTACTATTTTGTGTAACTTCATACATAGTCTATTCGTCAATTAGTCTATCGCCAGTTCTACATCTTCTTGATCCATATTCGTACGTTATTATTCTTGATGCAGGAAGTACAGGTAAACTCTTTTTTAGTTTATTTTGATTGAATATTAAGTTTAATTTTGTTGCTTACTATTTCAGGTACTCGTGTGCATGTCTACAAATTTCGTTCTCATCATGATAAAATATCCACGTATGTTTTAAAATCAGAAATATTTGAAGAACGTAAACCGGGTCTATCTTCGTATGCTGATCATATTGATAAAGCATCAGCTCAAATCAATGATCTAGTAACAATTGCCGATAAATCCATTAGTAAATTTAAACATCGTGCAACGCCTATTGTTTTGAGAGCAACCGCCGGTTTAAGACTGTTGAATGAAACAAAGAGCAGAGACTTACTACGAGCAGTATCGCATACGTTCGATCAATATGGATTCTATCGACCAAAAATGGATATTGCCATTATGAATGAAACAGAAGAGGGAATTGATGCTTGGTTAACACTGGTATATCTAAAAGGTAAAACATATAAAAAAAAATTTTTTGTCACTGTTTCCATTTTATAAGATTATTTTGTTTTTTTGATTGATTAGGTGAACAATTTTATTCGTCAAAAATCGCTGCTCTAGACTTAGGTGGTGGTTCAACTCAAATCACCTATAATCCATCATTAACCGATACATCTTTGGCAGTAAAATTAAATTATCTTCTACGACAACAGCAACCAAAACAACCTCAACTTATCAATGCCTTTAGAGAAAGAGATAAACCGGGTAAAATGCCGAATATTGATGTGAATAGAGCGGGTCTAGAAGAAATTAAACCCGATCTAGTTCCCAATCATCGACCAAAAATAAAAGAAAAAAATCATGTGGTATGTTTCAAAAATATGTAAAAAATAAATTGTATTTAAAAAAATAATATTTAATTTGTTTTTCTTTTGTTTTCATTTATATAGGAATCAATGTCAACAGAAAAGATATTAAATCGTGTCAAACGTCAAGAAATACAAGAACCAAGAGAAGATGATGAATCATTATTATTTATGTCAAATATGCATCAATTTCAAATGTTTGGTCGAGATATTCAACTTTATTCAAGATCTTATCTTGGCTATGGATTGATGATAGCGAGAGAAACAATATTTATGAATGAAACTATTGATGGACGAAAAAAAGATTCAAAAAAATCAAATGATTATTATGAGAAATTAATTCGAAAAGAGAAATTATTAAAAACACATTGTATGCCAAAAGAGATTAAAGGTTAGATAATTCTACAAGAAAAAGACTTTTTTATCTATTTATTAATTATTCATTTTTTTTTAAGGTAAATTTAAATTTCAAGAATTTTCCTGGCAAGTTGAATCTCATACTGATCACAATAGTGAAGAACAATTTTATCAGTGTATTTCAAAAATTGATGAATATATTGGAACAAATGTTCAAAAAGCTGTTGGTCTTGAACAAATGACTATTTATGTATTTTCATATTTTTATGATGCAGTACGGGATGCTGGTCTACTATCATCGGAAAATGATGAAAAATCAACAATAGTTACTCAATTACAAATTCGTACATTAAAACAAACGGCAAAAAATATTTGTCGTGGTTCAACTGGTTTATTAGAAAAACATCCATTTCTCTGTTTTGATTTAACATACATGTTTTCATTATTAACTAAAGGCTATGGATTATCGGAAGATATAAATGTAAATGTATGTAAAAAAATACAAGATTTTGAAGTGGCATGGTCATTAGGTTTAGCATTAAAATTATTATAAAAGAATAAAATTTCGTTCAATTAGATCAAAATCTTAATTTACTCTTTAAACTACAAAGTTAATATATTCTAATGGATATATGTTAGATTCTTGTTATGGATGAATTTTTTTCAAGTAATGTACGTATTTTTAATCATATTTATCTTTTCTATCTAATTCAATTGGTATATTACACTTTCTAGATACGTATCTATTTATTATCTATTGAAATAAAAGGCATTGTTCAAGTTTTTAATAGTTGAGCTTGAATTCTTTAATTTTTATGTGTGGTCGTATGCTCTATCAGTCCTTCTAATTTCTCTCAGATTTGTTTAAAAACTAATTTCTATTCTTTCATTTACAAATCTAAGGGATTTCTCATACGATATTCTCTGAAACATTTTCCACTACGAAGAAACTGTCTTGCTTGCGTTTTACTGTACTGAAGAATATTTTTTGTTTTTTCTGTTTATCTCGATATTTTTTTTGTTTTGTTTTGTTTTGTTATGTTGTTATTGTTAGTTCATTTTTCTACCTTATTTATTGTTAAATTAAACTATGTTTTGTTTTATTTTATTTTATATATCAAGTCTATGTACAATTTTGTTTGTTTATTTATTTATACATCGAATGATTTATTCATATTTTCGTGAAATTTATCATGACTATTGAGAAAGAAAAGATGTTATATTCTAGTGTTGACAACAGAATACTACAAAGTGTCTTTAGCACTAGGAATATACACGCCTGATATATTTTCGTCATCGTCCTACTATATTCTATCAATTACATGTAACAGTTTCACTTTTCGATTTTTTTAATGTCTAAACGAACAAGTTGTTAATTGTAAGCATTGGAATGTAGACAAAATTGATTGCTACACTCGGTACACTTAAGATTGTAACAATAAAAGCTGATTCATACACACTGTATATAACGTAAATAAGAAATGAAAAAAGAAACGAAAATCACTCTTTTCTTACAGGTCTAATCTATATTTGTTCTGTTTAGATATGCTTGGTTGATGAAAACTAATTTTTATCGTTTATTTGCATTTGCTTTAAGTACACGTTATCAAATATCTACAAAAATATTTTCATCTCAAATGGCGACATCATCAAGTACTAGTAATACTAAAAAACAATTAAAAATTGATATTGTTAGTGATAATGTTTGCCGTAAGTATAGAGTTTTAATCTATTAATGACAATCTAGTATCATAGTATTCAACAGATTATACTAAAAAGAATGTGTTTAAATTAAAGTTTATAAAAATATATATCAAAAATCATCAATTTTATAGAATGAAAATTTTTTATGTCCGAAATCCAAATTTTTAGATGATAATTAATTTTCTTTCAATAAAAATACAAATGTTTTATTAATCATAGAGAGTAGGTAGGATAGAAAATGTGATCGTCCACTTTTATTTGGGATTTTTATCCATAATCATAATAGCTAGAACAAATCTGAAAAAGATCTGAATAGCTGAAAGAGTTTTCTATCTGAAGATGTATGCATGAGAATTCTTCCAGAGTTACTATAAACAGGGTGTCGGATAAACCAAGATCATAGGTAACCAAGTGCCAGAGTTCGATTAATTAATTTTGTAAAATAACATGGACGCACAGATCGGACATTTTTGGACAAAACGAGACATCTCCCATTTATCTACGAACTTTTTCTCAGCAAACTGCATGCAAATTATGAAAGGTCACAGACTGTGGAAAACAGAAAGACGGGCCAGAAAACATGAAAAATATGCCTTCAGGGCCTTTTTTGTAAATTGCATGCAGGTTGCTGAAAAAAAGATCATGGATAAATGGGCGATGTCTCTTTTTGTCCAAAAATGCCTGATCTATGCGTTCGTGTTATTTTGCAAAATTGATTGATCGAACTCTGGCACGTGTTTTTCTATGATCCTGGTTTATCCGACATCCTGTTTATAGTAACTCTGAAAGAATTCTCATGCATAAATCTTCAGATAGGAAACTCTTTTAGTTATCATTCGAAATATCCTAAACAATCGCGGAGAAAGTAAAATATGCGAGGGAATTCCCTCCATGTGTTCTAACTATTCTGTAAGTTGTTTCAGTTGTTTAAAATTGATGAAAATTCCTTAAGTGGAAGCAAAAAGTTTATGTTTTATTGACTTTAAGTCGTGATATTAACACAGTATATGGTACAAGTCGTGCATTTCAGATTAGTATAAAAAGTAGAAATGGATCCTCTGTAATTCATTTAATTTTGATTCACGAAGCAGGCAGCATAGAACAAACTCATAGTAAACACGCTTTTTGGATATTGAATAGATGACGGAATTTGCTTTTATCTACACACATATATATATGTATATATGAGTATTAAAAAAATAAGATCAAAGAAAATCTACAGGGTAGCAAATAATATTATTCAAGGGGGGTAACGCTATAATTCTAAATCGGAGATATGATGAATTTTATACCAAATGAAAGCCCGTGAAAAATGGGATTTAGTGATGCTAAATAGTAAGACTTTGAAGGACTTT